CTCCCTTTGTTCTGAATGCTAATATAATAACTTCAGTAAGAAAATACAGGTGTGAGCTACTAACCTAGCAGGATGACAGTTGCTTAGCATGGTTATTTTCTTCCTAGGTATTTCTACCAAGACATTTGTATATCATTTTCAGACTTCACACAGAAATTATTCTGAAATATAATAAGTTTGCAGAAATCTATTAATATTTATGCTAAGAAAATGTCATTCTCATAACCTTAGCTACCGAACCTATCATTCAGCATTGTTCCACGAATAAGTGCTGGTGTGCTGCACTTAAATATGTGATGTTTAAATGCAAGGAAAGACACATCTTTGGGAAAGCATCTGTAGTACTTTATTAAGGTCAATCTGTAGTATTCTGTTCAGGTTAAGCAGAAAATGCTTATGCTGAGTAGGAGTGCTTTTCTAGTTTCAATCGTCAGGTTCTTCTCCCACTTGAATAGTATTCCTGCCATGAGTCCTAGATATGTACAGCTGTTTCTTCACGCCCTTACCCCCCCCCCGGCCCCGCAACTTGTTGATGCAGGCATTTGAATACTGCATTTATGAAATAAATGACCTTGCTTTCCAAGGTCTTAAAATAATCTCTTTTGATGGCAGCCACTTACTCATTTTGAAAAGTAAAACCAAAAGACTAGTTATTATTTGACTGAACTCTGTCTGAAAAGTTCTGCATTTTTAAGTGTCTAGGGCAAGTGCATGGTTTAAAAATACAAAAATTTTGCCATTCAAACTACCTGAATAACACTTACTGCCCACATAGTGCCTACATTCATTTAAAGTGTGCAAGTAAGTTGCAGTGCCTTCAGGTGGAGGTTGACAACTGGAGTTCATGTGTGCAAGTACTATCATTTTCTAAATCAATGCAAGTTTGACAGAATTTTTCCACTGAAATTGTGAGGCTTTGGAAAATAAAATTATTTTGCTCAGCAGTATTTGAAATATTTCTATAGGAAGTCAGTTCAGTTTCATTTAACATGTATACCATAATTCAAAAAGTTTTATCTAATGAATATTAGTGCTCATTTAAACACTGTTAAAATTGGATGGTAAGGGTAATCTTTTATACATAGCATTTTTTCTTTCTACAGTAAACCTTGCTTTTTTATTTTAACAAATTTTGGTAAGATTGCATTCTTCAGGAAATACAAAAGCCTCTTGAATGGTAACTTTGCATTTCTTTGGAGGATCAAGAATCTTGCTTTTAAAACATTCATTCCACAGGGTAGTTAAGCTATTAACCAAATTAATTTTAGAGAGTAGACATATTGAAATCAGGGTCTGTATTTTGCTTAGGAATGCTTAAAATGCTGTTATGTTAGGATTATTTTGGTGAGAGCAAAAAGCATGTAGTCTTGAAAGTATCACTTTATGGTGGCTGAAAAATAAAATAGTTATTTATTACGAGGTATGTTAGAACCTTGGAACCAGCATAGATAATAAAGCAAGGTTAATTTGAAGCTATGATCAAGCTTTATTTCAGCACCTCTGCAAATGCACTCTACAGAATTTTTGCTAATGAACTAGTGTTGAAAGAACATTTCTAAAAATCTTTGATGCTGATGCAAGATTGTTGCAGTTAATGGTAAAAGTATCTAGTAGCTTATCTGGTAACTTTGCTGATGCTTCTTGGTTTTAAACATCATTCTCATCAGTAGAACACAGATGAATTGACATACATAGATTTATATTATTTTTATATATTATATTATTATTTATATATAATATATTATGGATTTATGTCAGTTACTGTTACATATAAAAACTGTTATCTTTTCTGCTTAATACATGAATCATACATCTACCTAGACTGGTTTATTCTATGTTGTAGGCACCACTAATAAATTTAAATGTAATAATAGTTTATGATTATGGACTTCACTGTGACCTAGTGATATGGTAACTAGTTCTTTGTTCTAGGCAGAAAGACCTGATCGTTATTTCACAGACTAGCAATGGCTTACAAGAAGCAGTGTCTGTGCTTCCAAGTAGTCTTCTGGCAGCCAGGGTATTTGGCATCATTTCTAAAATGCAGGATGTAAAGAACCGCACTAATGGAGTTTGAGCAAATGCTGCATGCGTATATGATTATTCGCTTGGAAAATCCAGTGTCTCAGCAGTGGATGTCTAACTGCATCTTTATTGCAATTCATGGGCCTTTCCTGAGTGTTACAGCTATCCATCAGATCTGTCCTGCAGCCCCTTACAGCACAGGGCCAGCTATACACTGCTATAGATGTTGCTGAATAGAACTTCAAATAAAATGGATTTCTGTGTTAAGCCTTCTAAAACACAGTGATCTTCTGTTACAGTTAGAGTGTCATGTCAGAGAGCAAGGGGCTAAAAATGAGCAGAATTTAACTTGCTGAAGAAAGGCAAGTAGGCCACTGCTATGAAACCTAACAGACTGTCTTAATGATAGATGATGAAATTTAAGGTTTCATTTCTGTGAATTTGAGAATATGACCAGCTTTTTTGAGAAAAGGGCATTTTGGTGGTTTGTGGCTTTTACTAGAAATCAATTCATATGTAGCCAGGTACCTTTGCAATGCCTATCAAAGTAAAAGTAACAATAAATGAGGATTAAAGGTCAAAGTGGAATGATGGAGACACGTTTAGAAAATGTAAGATGTTTTCCTCTTCTGTCTTCTAAGCATGACTCTCTTTTAGGGTTAATAGAGCAATCTGTTCTGTAGGAAGAATGAAACAGTTTAAAAGTAGGTCTGTCAATGTTGCTTCTCCTTCTCATCACTCAGAATATGTAATTACTCTGAAACTATCAATGAGAATATCCAAATCCAATGACTTTCCCCACCTGTATGCACTTAAGGTTACAATATTGACCATGCAAATACACAAATCTCAGTACAACCTCTTTCAAAAGGTATATTGTTATACAGGAGGGGCGACATTTTTAAAAAGAAACGACATTCTGATGTATTTGGGTGGTTTGGGTATTATTATTTTTTTTCCCTTACCCTTTCGAAGTTGTAGTCTGATACATGTGCGGTTCTTTTGCTTGTTTTTGGGTGGTGTTTTTGTTTGTTGGCTTGGGATTTTAGCTTGGGGTTTTATGGGGATGGAGAACTTAAGTTTTAAAATCATACTTTACTGGGAGTTAAAAATACTGAAGGAAAAAATCTTGCTTTCAGGAATAGCATGAGACTTACATGCATGTACAGTAATTGCATTTGTTCTAGTCCAAGAAGCATTACTGTCGGCAAACAGCTGGCAACACTTAGGTGGTGGTTTTGGTAGGTGGTTTTCTTAATTTGCCAGCTGAAGCAGCTACATATTAATAATGGGCTTCCTTTGTTGTACTTCTTCCTACAGATAAGAAAAAGAATTTTTACCTAATTCTATTGCTGCAGTGGATTTTGTTTCCCTCCCAAAATGTTAGAATATATACTTAGCCTTTTCTGTCACTAGATAATGAGCACTGTTTTCTCCAGAACTTCACATTCTTGCAGAGCAACTGTTCTTTTTCTAATGTGCATGTATGTTCTACTAGCAAGCTGCTTATTAAAAAGTTTCAAAGACTATTTTTGCAAATAGCTTGTCATTAAATTCATTGTCATTAAATTAATTGTTGCCACGTTTTAGGAAGAAATGTCTGAGTTAAATCTTATTTTTTAGGAAAACATCCAAAACCTTGATTGTTTATTCATAACTATGTAACAGTTAATATTTTGCAAGTACAGCTGTAGTAGTATAGTTTTTATTATTTCTTTGGAACATTTCTTCAGTGTGGTAGCTGTACAATAAATTGGTAAATGTTGATTTCTAAGTGACATTTATAAATCGGAAATGCAAACTAAGCTGCAAATATATGTAAATCAACATTATAACCTACAGCAGGATTTGATATGCATAGTTATCTTTCTGAAAAGCAGCAAAGATATCTGTACTTCTTTTTTATACCTAGAAGTGGCAGGTCTAAACTTTTTTCCTTTTTTTTTTTTTTGTTGCTTTTGTTTGTTTATCACAAAGCTGACATGTTTCTGCTTGTAGGGATACCTTTATCAGGGTGCGACTTTCTCTTGGGGAATAAGAAATCATTCAGTTACTTTGTCCCCAGAGCTGAAAATGCCATGCTGTGTTAACAACAGAGGAATGTGTCCATTTTCCCACTTTTTCAACAAACCATGAAAGATGAGATCCTATCAGTTTCAGGAACTCAAACATTATTAATGGAATATTCTCACCTATTAGGAGAAACTGAATTACAAGGTCATTATTTATTTTTAAAGAATGTTTTTTTTTCTCAAATACGTAAACAAGTCTATTAAAAATGGTAAAGTTAAGCACTGATATTACACAGATGCTGTTCAATTAAGATGCTGAAGGTGCAGTGCTTTAGTTTTAAAAATGAAAGGTTGTTTATATTTTCTCACTTGTATCAGTCTGAATCTTCAGAATCATGTGGTGTTTTATCTCTATATTTAATAGCGCAATCATTTTGGATATCTAGATGTGAAGTTGGAGTTGTATTTGTGGATGTTGTTGTTTTTGCATACTGTGAGCACATGTCAGCCAGAATAATAACACTGAATTGTTTTCTAGAGTTTGTCTCTTGGTATAGTAGACTGCTTTTACAAATTTTGTCTGCTATGGACAAAAAAAAAAGATCATTTCGGATTTTCTTCTGCTTCATATTATGTTTCAGAATTCTTTCTGATAAGAGGATTTGTTTTCTGGAAATAATGTTGTAGAAGATACGTCCTCTGTCATTTTGCAGAAAAAAGTTTCCAGTGAAGGAAAAGAATCTAATTCCAGCCAATGTACTTAAATTTTGTTGTTGTTCAGATTTATTGTAAGCAATATAAATATTTCATGCAACAATAACTAGTTCACTTAAAAGTACTGCTTGATTACACTGTTGGATTTTATGCCAGAAACCATGATGGTTGAATGGCCCAAGTGGATGGCAGTGTTTGCCAACTCAGATTTTTCAGTATGCTTATACAATTATTTTCTTCTCTTTCCAGCTGTAGGCACAAGGTGTACTTGGAAAAGCTACCCAATACTAGCATAATTATACCATTTCATAATGAAGGCTGGACTTCACTCTTGCGAACAATACACAGCATTATCAACCGCACTCCGGACAGCCTGATAGCAGAAATCATTCTTGTGGATGACTTCAGTGACAGAGGTAAGGCCCGACGGTTTTGTTTTAACTTGACATTTATAATGAGGTGTGGTCCATATAGAAACTAAAGGGAAGCAAAAAGTGAGGAGATTGTACCTGCTGGACTGCTTGCCTTGAAGTACTGTTTGAATGTTAGCTGGAATAAATGTGTGTTAGAGGATTTTGTTTTACTTTGCATGAATACTGAAATTCATGTCAAAGGGAAGATACTGTGAACTGTTCTTTGGCCTTTATTAAAATAGTATTTTGAATATATTATTTCTGAAATAGTGCAAATTTTAGTGTTTCGACATCTTTTCCTTAGGCTTCACTTTTACTCGGGAAACCTATTAACTTTGACCATTTTGGATGCAACTTGTTAGATTTTAATCCTAGAATTTTATTGAGTTAGATGGCTTCATATACTGGTACAAAGTAGCCATACGGAGAAATGAGACTCTTGAATGGAATGTGAAAAACTGCTTCGGAATAGTTAATCAAACTTTACATCATCTATGTATAGTAAAATTAAGAAAACTGCAATCACTTAATGACCTTTGCCATCATTACTTCTTGAATGCAACATAAGAAATGAATGCTCTGAAGTTCCTTAAATGAAATTTAACAATTTCTTAGGTAAAATTCATCTGTAACAATGATATGGAACTGGGAAATAGTTTTTTCTTTCAAATTTCTGTACATCTTTTAGGACTTCAAGTGTGAAGAGCTTTGACTTTTTGGGTTTTTTTTAGCATTTGGGTTTTTTTTGCTTGTTTCTGTTGAAACATCAGTTGCTAGTGTGTATGCGAGCCTTGTTCGAAGTAGATTGCTAGACAGTGAAAAAGAGAATTGTGGTCTCTGCTAATGTTTTTAGGTAAAACCTTTGTCTCAGCTAGGAACTTACAGGAGCAGATTTCTGACCTACAATTGTGAGAAGCCCCTGGGTGAACGAGAGGAATATTAGTAGAGTGCTGCAGTGGAATCATTTTTGTAAGGTTTTTTAACTTGATATTTCAGGGGTTAGAAAGATTAATGCTGCACACATCTATCTTACCCTCTCATATCTGCTGGTTTAGTTGCAATATATCCTTTGATGAACTGCTTCTCTATCTGTAATGTAATTTAAGTGAAATTGTAAAGTGAGTACAGTTCTGTCTATTCTGTGTTTATAGAATCTAGACCATGGATGAAAGTTTTCAAAACAAGAGGAGTAAAGTAGCACAACAATTTTTCTGCAGGCTAACAATTGCCTAGTAGTAAACAACTTACAGGGAAGTCTGCAAGTTGGTTTTATGAGGTGTCTGACAAGTAAAAATGCTTCTTATACTGAGAAAGCAGCTATTGAGGCTGTGCTTGCTCAATATGATAATACTGTAGCATTTTTTTAATACAGATCATACTGACTGCCGCGGAGGCTAACGGAATCGAACTAGGCAGGTGATAGATTCAAAAATAAACCTTATTTAAACCAAAATTGTTTAGCAGAAAACTAACTAGAAATGAGGCTCATCAAAATCGTTCAACACTCCAACAACATCAGTAAACCACAGGTTCAGGATGGTGTACAAGGAATTAATACCCCACAACCAGCTTTAGCAGTGAGGATCCAAAATGTGCACAATCACTTACCTATAAGATGAGGGCTCTCAGCCTCGAGGAGTTTCCTTGGGCAGTGTCTTGACCCAAGGGGAGAGTCCCCGACTGCTGACCCGCTGCTCCAAGGAGGACCGGCTCCACTTATACCCTAGTCGAATCTGATCTGTGGTCAGTTCTAACTGGCTGAGGGCCTTAACTGTGTTACTCCTCCCCCGAGGTGTATGCATGACCATAATTACTGGCCCAAAACGTGTATGTGATGGTCAGCACTCGCCACTGTAAAGGCGCAAAAGTAAGGGTGCGAAAAGTAAGGATGCAGCTGTCTTAAT